TTAGAGTTATTCTTCGAGTATATGTAAGCAAATTAACTTAGTTTGGCTTAATACCGGTTGTGTAGTCATTCCTCCTATGCAACTTATCAAAGGCAATCAAACATACCACAAAGATATGGTGTTGATGTAATCAACCAAATGCGCATTAAGTCACTGACAGCAGTGACAGGTAGCAGTAGCGGTAGTGGAAGTCAAATCCGAACCTCCCTAATATCATTAGCCATACATACCACAAATTTCTTTAGAAGGTGTTGAAGTGTTAATACATTGATATTCAAAGTAAAGATATTTTGTCAATCCAGGACATAGATCACCAGAGAACAAGGTTTCATTCACAGTTATATTACACTCATGTTGACCATCACATTGTTTCTTAACAAGACATGTTACATCAACTTCACAACTATGATCATCACTCAAACCACATGTCTTTGTGTCAGACAATCCACGGTACGATGCAGTCTTGACCACCATGTACTGATCTTTAGGACAGTTGGCATTCTTGACCATTTTTCCATGACATGTTACTGAACCTGGAACAGAATAAATTTTTTTGTTTCGTTAAGCACAATGCCACATGTAGGACAATGATATTTTTTGCGATTTATTTTTTTTATCGAAACATTACATGCTGTTATTCAAAACAGAAAGTACACATGCATATATACTAATATATTACTGTATGTACTCTGTTTTACACAAAAAGATTATTGCAAGTTCCAAGTTCTTTCATAGTTCGCCTCAGAATTTTTCGTGGATGTACACTTTTGCTTTGACAACGGTTGAAGAAATCGCTATCCTGCCTTTGTGCCAGAGTCTTAGCCAGGTTCTGGAATTTGGCCGTCCAACTTTAGGGCGTGCCTTATAACTTAACATTTACGTGAATCTCTTTGGATGGTGTAAAGACATTCTGGAATCTTGCATATCATTACTGTATATTTTTGATGGCTTATGAAGAGAATGTTACGAACGCGCGTAATAGATTCACATCCGATGTTAGGCAAATAGGCTATTTTTTAATATAATCTTGAACTGTCTGTACCAGTGTAGGTAACTATAACGAGAATTTCAGAAATTCTCCTTATATTTTTCACGTAGTTGCATCCCTACCAACGAAAACAGTTTTCTTTAATGGACTATTCCCCAATTAACCAAAATTTTGATCTCAACAAGTCTAGACAAAATTCCATCATAGCATGAAAGAGCATCACAAAATTAGTAATATTCCAAAGTTTCGTTTTAAAATGTTGTAAAATGCGGATAATATAGCCTTGTGAAATTTGCAATTTTCAGTCATTTTAGATTACAAACGGGAAATGGTTACCACTTTTCCAAAATTTTGATCTTAACTAGCCTAAACAAAAATTTCATCACAGCGCGGAAAGAGCATCACAAAATTAGTAATATTCCAAAGTTTCGTTGCAAAATGTTGTAAAATGTGGATAATATAGCCTGGCGAAGTTTGTAATTTTCAGTCATTTTGTATTACGCACAAAAGTGGTAACCATTTCCCGTTTGTAATCTAAAATGACTGAAAATTGCAAACTTCGCAAGGCTATATTTTCCGCATTTTACAACATTTTAAAACGAAACTTTGGAATATTACTAATTTTGTGATGCTCTTTCAAGCTGTGATGAAATATTTGTCTAGGCTTGTTGAGTTCAAAATTTTGGTTAATTGGGGAATGGTCCATTGTCTCCAATTTGACTGTCAATGATTAATAGTCTGTTTACACTTGCAATTTTTGCTGCGATTTCTAGTGCGATTTTCGTCTTCTGATGGATGTGAACGAGTAGATGAGTTATGAATGTTCACCTTCATCTGAACATTGATAACTTATCGCAGAAAAAATTGCAGCAAAAATTGCAAGTGTAAGCTGGTCTTAAGAATATTATAATGCAGGGACTGACGACTGTAGACAGCTGTGGTGTAAAGGATGTAGAACAACCTGAAAACAAGTTGTTCACTAACTTCACGACGAAGCGTCTTCGCTCGAAACATTGAGCATGAAGTTCTGTTTGTATATTTTCAGGTTGTTGTGTGATCTTTATACCACAGCTTTCTGTTATCGTCTACACTAGCACCGTTCAAGATTTTATCGCTGACGACTGCAGCCTTCATTTCAGACGGAAAAGAAATGTATTAGAGAAACTTACCAAAATTAAAACGTTTATCCTCTGCATCTTCACAATCTGTCGTCAATCTGATGTAGGGATCTATTCCTGCATTTGCGAGTGCATCAGCTGTTTTAGGGACTGCACACCGCGTCTGTTTATCAGGTATATAATATACAGATAAACCTCCCCAAGAGGTCTGGGTTATAGCATGGTCTCCATCACGACAATTAGCTGAAGGATCTGTAGCAAGGAGCAAATACAACATAGGAAAAAGATAACCAGGACTAGCGGCCCTAAATGTTCCCTCGAAACATCCCTTTCTTTTCAAATTGAGCATAGCACTATTATCACGAAACCGAAACTGAGCAGCTGGATCCAGACAGTTGTTGGAAAGTTCCACATAAGATAAGTTTCCCCAAGACGCGTCCACCTTTAGTACGCTTGTGTCATTAATACACATCCCTGTCTGCACATGTTTCACAAAGAAACAAGCAGCGCCTGGAGAAAACAGGAAAAAATAATTCAAAAGTAAATACATTTTCTCCAAGTGGGATGGATGTAATGCGTGGAAAATTTAGGAAACAATATTCTTACACATGTCCTCTACGTTGTGGAAACAAGATTTTTGCATCTATAATACATATGATGTTATTTTTGTTGGAATAATACTGGTATATAATATTTGTATAACATGTTTGTATAAAATTTCTAAACTGAGTTGCACTGATTAATATCCGGGTTTACTAACTTGTCGAACGTTTTATGGAATAGATAAAGGCGTTGTTCTCACAAAACAAATTAATGAAACAGCCTATATACATAAATAGGATACGATAAATGTGGAGAGAATATTTTCCTGCGTGAAAAAATGCTTAAAAATGGCAATCAAAATATGCAAACTCCGAAAGTATAAAACTTGATTGCAGTGGATCCTGGGAAAGTATCAAATATGACGTTCACTGACGAAACTTTTAAAAATAAAGGGTTTTTTGCCGGACTTGTGCTGCAAGGTAGACCGAGTAATTTAGCCATAACAAAATGAACTTCGCATTCATATAAATCAAAACCAGTCTAGCGTATAACGAAATGCACCAAATTAATGTAAATTACAATCCGGGAAGAGTAAATACAATTTTTTATAACCTGGAATTTGTATCTAAAGTGAAACATGGTTGAAATCTAAAAGCTATCTCAGTTTACTAGAATAGGAGCAGCATTTTATTACACTACACTGATATATGTTGTTCTTAGGGCATATCCGAAGATTCGTGCTGATTTTTTAACGTAATATCTTCATAATATCTTTCGCCTTGTTTTGGATGCAAACTACGCAATTACCTGAAAATACAAGGAGACTTTCGAGCAAATGCCCTTCGACTTCGTCGGAATGTTACTGAATGCTGTAGGGCATTCGCTCGAAACGTCGAATTTCTCCTTATATTTTTCAGGTAGTTAGTGCATCCCTAGCAATCGCAGTTTGTTATTAGGAAGTCTAAGCTTCACGTTTCCGGGTTTTTGTTGAACGTTTTCGTTTCATATTTTCTTTCTTGTGTCGAAAGAATAATCATGCATTGCAGTTTTAAAACAGTAAGTTCACTTACTCTTTATTGCCTGATACTGTAAAATTTTTCTTTGCCTGGCGTTTGTCGTTTGACGTATACCCGAAAGCGTAGCTTAAGCTCTCTGTTATTTGCACTATCCACATCGACACAGACCGTTCAAAAACCCTAACCCTATATTCTATAATTATTATGTTTGTTGGTATTACAATATATATGAGGGCCGTATCGGTTAGAAAATTGTCATGGCTAATATGTACATTTCCCTCATGAAATACAGGTTCACTGCGACTAAGACGCCTAGCTAACAATCAACTCGATACCTTCAGCGGATTAATTCAACTGCGTCAGTACGAGTGATAAGTTTCACCACTTACCTTGCAAACTCAGGAAAATTACAATGAATTCCAGGAAACCGCACTTACAGCACTTTGACAACATCTCGTTAATTGCGGTATCACATCACTTCACGTAAGTCGAGACAAGATCAGGTGCAAACGTCTTTCAGTGTTGAGAAGTGCGAACGCGGAAGGCGCCAAATGAATCAATATACCGGAACAAAACCCGATAAATATTCGTAGAAACTCAGCATGAAGTCTGTGGTGCTTTTGAAGTTGAATAAATAAAAAATATCCAACATTCCTTTAGGCTTTACGTTTGTTGTTCTTAAATCATTAACAAACTTTATAAATATAAGCAAGGGACATTTTTGCCCGAAAAATGAAACAACTAATTTTGGCGGCATTCTGCCTCATGGTGCTCGTGTAAGGAAGCAAAAAACTTTAAATCTTATTTTATGTCATGTGTGTTGAAGATTACCACAAACCGACATAAACACAATTTTTAATCAAATCCCTCCTCTGCAATCTGACGTCCGTATTGACATAAACATCACTTGTTTAAGCTCGCTATTGTAACAGTAAGCCCTGTTTTATACGTCGAATTTCGGTCGCGTCGAATGCAATTCAGACTGATAGATAATGAAGCTTAATGAGGTTTATCCATAGATATCTTACATACACTAGATAGTGCATCTAATTATTCTGCAATTCAAAAATTGAAGCCGTGATTGCAGTCTCAGGTCGTTCCCATGAAATGAGAAGATTCGTATGTTTTCTATTCCTTAAACAGGGAACTTAAACATTAAGTCAACCCTATTCCAAATATGTTTTTAAGCTATTCAAATGATGAAAGTTATTATATTGTTGTTTTTAAGCATTTATTAGCAAGTGAGAACGACCAATATGGCCGCCATCTATTCAAATGGGGGTAACCGCTGGAATATTCTTGGCTTCAATTTTAATAAAAGATATGCGCTATCTAGTGTATATAAGATATCTATGGGTTTATCATCTCATTATGGACGCGACCAAAATTCGACGTACAAAACGGGCCTAACACACCTTTAACCTGAAGACCGTATGGCTATATTCGTTGGAACATATGCTTACGAATTATCACTTTCAATTTTCAAAGTTAACTAAATATGTTGTTTCATTTTAATTGTTGTTTGATACATGCAGTACTGTCATGATATGAGTGTTATTATAATGACGAGCATGTCCAACTGTGATATGATAAAATTCATCAATTTCAGTTATAGTTTCTTAGGAAGTGGGTAGCTAGAACTGTCATTATCAATTAACACTGTGAGATGTCAGCAACCAGGTGTGAGATCAAGCATGTAATAAATGAATTATCTGTTATTGAAAAATTCTGAGGCGGACTTGTGGCAAGTCTAGGACTAGGTAGTGACAATAACACCAAGAAAGCTGTGCCTGTGTATTGAGCGGGATTCAACTATCTGAAAAATACCAACAAAACTTGTGTTTTTCAGACAAATTCGTTCAGACTCTACCCCGGTTGGCAGAGGTTCTCGTATCTTCCGCCCTATTCTCACTCGAACTTAATACGGCACCACATGAGGCTCTGG